GAATTATGTAAATTCCCTGTTTCTCAGTCTGTTCATTTGTAAAGATGAATCACCTGAGATCTGCCCCTTAGTTTGAAATATGGAGTGGAATATAAAGAGCCAGCCTTGGGGTAAAGTATATTAAAGCAATGCTCCCCACTTGGTCCTCAGGTTTCCATCCATTCTGACTAGAATGAGCAATTACCATTCGCTTATGGATCAGTGAATGGTCAATTTAGCTGGAAGAGTTGACTGGTTGAGTCCTGTGTCTACGTGGCCATGTATTGTGGCAACTCTAAGCAACATTTGATACTAACTGTATGAGGACTGATGAGGATTCAGCTACCGTGGTTGGCATGCTATATTTGACTGTGCTTTATATTATTGGTTTCCAAACACAGGCCACATCAGAATCATCTGGGAACTTTGTAAGCTGGGCTTATTCTAAGATATGAGCCAAAGGTTTGGGGTGAGAAATTAAGAGTAGTATTTTCAAGAGTTCCTTATTTCATACAGCTTTGCTTGCTGATGGGTCAGTGGTATAAACCAGGTTCTTACTTCAGAACTCTACCATAAACTTAGAGTCAGTTATTCTGCAACAGGTCTTTGACTATTTTTCTACTGTAATCAACACCAAGAAAATGAGCTTTGTTGAGGATAAAAATGTCTATTAAAACACATATATCTTCAATAGTCATCACAGTAAAAATAAATTTTCAGAAATACTGACATGATTCAATAACGACATTCTAAAACAATAATGACATTCCCATTTCAACTGTTACATCTGCGTGGCAAAGCAGCCTAAGTGTGAGAGGCATAGTCACTTTGGTCCTTGATATCAATTCATCTGTGGCCTTGATTAATTGGACCACAGAGTCTAGACAGGTCACTCAGCAAGCCAAAGTGCCCTAGATCTCTAGCACCTGTGGTGTTCCCTCTGGGCTCTTCAGCCACATGGACACAGTCCCAATTCCCTTTGAAAATAAAAGGTCAGTTGTACATGTTGTGGAAGAAGCAGAAGCTAAACAGAAACTTTTGCCTGGTACATGCAAGTAATTACAAGAAAAAAGGACCTAAGAATCCAGAATTACCCAGAAAATTGCTCATTCTATCATTCTGAAGAAATGAAGATTCACCAAAATTGTTATTGTTGGTACAACTTCTTAGCATATTGAACTAAATATAATAATTCAAAGTCTGATGTTGAAATTACTTATAATAAGGAAAGCATTTCTGAGCTCAAGAGACCCCTGCTGCAAAGTAGACAGAAAGAAAAATGGGCAGCCATTCTCAGCCTTTGGCTTCTAAACTATGCATACCTGTTACTAAAACGAGGTTTTATTAAGATGAACTGAGTATTGAATAGGATTTCCATTATCAACTGTGAACTATCAAAAACTGAATTGTGATTTACCAAACAGTGATCACCAAGGGGTTCTTCTTTCGTTTCAGGGTAGAAAGTGGGTGGTTACCAGTGAACAAATGTATCCTTTATTGCTCTGCATTGAGAAATAATTTTCTTTTTTTACCCTTTACAACCCTTCCAACTTACTTTTTGTGCCCTAAAGATTCCAGACCAAAATCATGGTCCCTTTGAGTCTATCTTCATTTGATCCTGATAAGTCCAAGATGAGATAAATTTCTCCAAATTACACAATCTTGGGCTGTCACTTAGCCTTTCTGTATCTCCATTTTCTCATTTGAAAAGTTGAGAATTAGGACTGGGGAAGCGTATAGGCGCTTATCTTTCCAGTGTCTTAGTACTCTGCAGTCTGATCCCTGATTCTGCTGACCTCAGGGCAACAGTGCACTGCTGTCTGAGAGTGTCTAATATTTAGTGTCTTGCTTAAAATTTAAGAAATGTTCTTCCATTCCTTGACTTCCCCACCAAATTAGGTTTGTCTGGGGACTCATATTCATGTCTAACTGGTGACCTATGCACAAGGAGACTGGTCCTTTGAATGTCCTTGCTGTAGCTCCACAGTCAGGTGCCTGACATCAGGGTCAGACAGATGGCACAGTGCTCACAGTAAGCACTGCTAGGCACACAGCACTTTCCCAATGATCAAGGACACAACAATGGAGGAACCACAGAAGTTAATCATCAAATATGGGAAAGAAACTCTGGATGTGGGAGAAATTCTTGACATTACCTTTAACCCTGTCTCCTGGGATCTACATGTCTGTACACTGGGGGTCTAGCATCAAGCAAGCTGCCAAATGTTAGTTGTTTTTCTTTTATCTTCTGCAACTTAATTGATTATTTGTGTTGGTGTCATGGACAGAATTGGGAGTCTTATGGTGATATTTATTCCCGTAGGTGAACGTGGGCTCTGCTCTAAATATTCTATAAATATTCTTTTGCTGACAAAAGAATGTCCTTACCCTAGAACCAACAAAATAAGGTCAATGCAAAAGCCAAGGGGTGTGGACCTATAGTGAGTCAAGTAAGAGGCCCCTGTGGTAAATCTTCCCAGCTCAGTGCACTTGACTCCGCAAGCCTGGGAGCTATGGGAAAGCCAGCAAACTCTGGTTACTGACAGCTGCCTTTCTAATCAGGACACACAGAAGCCACCATGTCTTTTGGTTTAGATGGTGGCTATATAGGTTAATCTTTGAAACAATCTTTAAAAACAAAGAGATCTTGTACGATTCACTAGAGGCTGCTTTTCTCAGTGTTGGAACTGCAGGTCAAGGGCATAACCAACAATACAACAATAGTAAAGGCTACTATATGTTGAGCACTTACTATGCACCGAAAATTGGGATAAATGCTTTACCTACATATTGCATCTAATTTTTTTGAATAGGAGGGGAATGTGAACTACAAATGAAAAAAATTTATCAAGTCTGAGTATTGTGGTTAACCAAACAGGATGGCTTAGAATTTTCTTCACCAGATTTGTCTTAATAAAGGGGAATGTGGTCTTTAGGTATCACCTTCAAGAAATCCTGTCTAGAATTAGGGATGACCTCTAAGTCCTTCTGGTTCTGGAGATAAGTCCATTTCCCCCACTATTTTGAGTTCCTGTTAAATACAGCTGAAATGATGGTGGGGGAAGGAGAAGGTCCTGTCACTCCTAAGATGGAAAAAGCATTCAGTGAGATTAAACAACAACAACAACAAACCTCTCAGAACTTAAAAAACAAAGCTTTAAATTGAGATGAAATCAAATTTAAATAGCCTGCCTTGGAACAATGAACTGTTTTTAGGGATCCTGGGTTTTTTTTGTTCCTTCAATCTGCATGGTTCAAAATGTCTATGTATTTATATTTAGTAAAAACTAATAGGTACATTGGGATTGAAACTCCAGAGTCAGAACCTGGCGCGAGGAATATGGGCATTAAATCACTCAGCTGTAACCAACTGAACTAAGTGCTCAGGAACAGCCAACTACGCATTTCTGTCAGTTATCAATCTCTCCGTGATTCTAACCCAGCGCAGCCTGAGAACAGCAGGATTGTCTTCTTTAAAGTGACAGGGAACATACCACTGAACTTCAGAATGTTTTAAATATCTTCCCTCATAGTTTCTTCATATATGGAATTGTTTTAGTTTCCTGTTTCAAAACTTCTATTCCTACTTCTTCCCATTTATGTAGATGACGGCCATACATGATAAGTCATGTCACAGTAGGTACCGTGTTTGAACCTGAATGTTTTTCTTTCACTTTCTTTCTTTAACCTCTGGATCTATCCAGCTGCTCTGAATAGCTCCCTGAAGCTTTAGGACCACGCAGAACATGAACATAAGGATCATGTCTTTCCTTATTGTATTTGGCTTAATTTTAGGCATGATCTTACTTTCCCAAAGAGGGGCAGTGAACTGACAACTGAATACAGCAATGATTTTTCATGGTATTTGTGATATTGCAAGCAATCTAGATGAGATTTCTGGAAAAGAATAAACTCTCCCACTCAAACATATAACAAATGTGCTTGACTGGCATTTGGAAAGAAACTTATTAAAATTTAACATCAACTTGGCCAGACTTTGGGCTGAACTGGAAGAACAAAGTGCTGCTCAGTAAGAAGTCAGGGGTGGGGGTGATACAATTTCTACTCCTAAGGCTGAAATAATGAAAAGGAGAATGGCCAACTAATTCCTCCATGGCAAGCCTACATAATCTCAAATTCCAAGGACTATTTAGTACTAAGACTTGCCACTGCACAATGGCTTTCTCTTTTGAAATACTTAACTTATAGGCATATAGATCTGATTTCAGGGGAACTAGGGAATATTCAGTGTCTACAAGTGTCTCAAAACAAACAAACAGCAGGACCCTGAAATGCTCTCACCTTACCATTATCCACAGGGGGTGGCCTGGCTGACCTTCAGCCTTCCTCTCTAGCCCTGCTGGTTCTCAGAGTCTCCAGATGTACAACATGGTCACCCCAGCATAGTGTAGACAGGACAACATAGCAACATCTAAACAGTTTTTTTCTTCCTTCAGTGTCCCAGGCTCTTCAACTGACTCAATTGCCTCTGTAGGCTGAGAAGATGGTTTGGGACTATGGGAAACACCAGGCCTAGGCTGCAATGCCCTTGCAGATGTGGCAACATTGTTATTATCTGCCATAATCACATCCATGTCAAGAGATGCAATGCCACCCACACCATAGGCTTTCTTTGTGATAGTGAAAGATGACCTGCATTATATGCCACTCACCCCAGAGAGACCACCCTGCTGCAGAAGGACCATATGGATGAGTGAGGACTTCATTAGATGCATTTCTTATAAAAATAGTCATGAGGGGATTCATCATGATTTTTCTCGGTTTGTCATGAAACATCAAAGTTACCCAGAACCTTGAACACATCAAGTACAGATGCAACACACACAAGCAAAGCTAATTCAATAGGATTCCTAGCAAATTATTAAACTCCGTGGTTGTGGGGCAGGGGAATGGTTTCAGGGAGAGGGAGAGACATGACAGGGGGTGGGGGAGCAACAGGGAGAGAGGTGGAGGGGAAGGGAGCCAGAGAGGGAGATATGCAAACCAATTTTTTGTTTCCATTTTGAAGAGTCTGATCCCACCAGCAAAACAGATTCTGCCCCAATTGGCCTGAGGCCTCTGATTACAAGGACTGTATCTGAGCAGAGCTGCAGAAACTATAGCTCTAGTCCTCATCAACAAGGGAGGCAGTTTATTATTAAAATACAAACATGAAAATACTTCAAACCATTCTGTTAGCAGCATACTTCCAAATGCAACATTCCCTTTATCAACTGAGCTTAAATTATGTGGCTTCAATGCATCTGTCCTGCCAAGTCTGCTAAGACCATTCAAAGAGCAATGCAAAAGGGGGAGCAGACATCTTTCCTTTTAAGTGGCAGACCGAGCCTTGTAAGTCTCTGGGGTTCTACTCTGAAGACTATTCAATTTGATTTGGGGCACTTTTTAAACAGCCGTTTGGCACTTTCCATTCCGAGTTCTTAGGCACAGTGTGACAGAGTCAGCTTGGTGAGCCCTTCCCCATGCATTCGATATAGCAGCTGAAACTCAGCAGGCAGCTGGTGGGACTCCTGCCACTTGGTGGTAAATTTGGTTCCTTTTTTGTCATAGTAATGGTACGGAAGATCTTCCCTTGTGTTGGGATCAAATCCAAAAGGCCAAAATCCATACAAGTGGATCTCTTCACATATGGCTGACGCAAGGGTGTACATAAGAATACCTGTGCTCAATCGTTTGGGCGACAAGTGTTTGTTTTTCCAGTACCTGCAGAACAATAAGTACACAGTGGATTCAGAGGCCAGTGTCAAGGCTTCAATCTGGTGGGTCAGTCGTACTGGGCTGGGAGATGGATTTGTTTAGACAGTTTAAGTTACATGGATAAATCCACCTCCCAACCCAGTCACCCTGGCCTTCCCCCTTCCAACTGAAATTTAAAATTCACTAAAATTAAACATGAGGGGAGCCAAAGGATGAGTTTATAAAGAGATAGTCTGGCAGAAGACGTGGCTTCTAGTTCTCCATTTTGGAAGTGATTGTGACTTTAGGTAAATAGTTCTTGCCCTTTATATTTCAGTTGGTTCATCTTTGAACCTGAGAGTTGGGCTCTATTATCTCTGAACGTACATCCTGGTAAATAGGGATTGCCCAAGTCTATGCCTGTTATAGTTGTTGTAATTATTAATAGGACCCCCTTTCTCTCCAAGGAAAAGTTCTGGTTTGGGCTATTAATTATGGAATCACCCTACCTTTCAGAGATGCACCCTTTTATTAGATGTATCAGCTTATTAGATTCCTCTTTCAATGAGAGGTTAACTAGAGATCTTAAATTTGGAAGACTTTAGGGGCTATAGGATGAGAATAATCTGTTACAGAATGAAAATCCTTAAGATTCCCTGGTTACCAGATTTTTCCAGAACCCACTCTAATTTGTAGTAATATTTGGTGCTCTGTTGGGACACTTTGGCTTCTTATATAGGGGGAATCAGCATTAGGCAATTTGCTCAGATGATTTAAAAGGAAAAAAAATCCAACAATTAATCTTGCTTTCTAACATACCCTGGATTAGTGGCTCTCAATTCCAACTGCATATTTGAATCATCTGGAGAATTACTACAAAACCCCAACTGCCTGGTCCCTTCCTCCCTTTCCACCAGAAAAAAAAATTGTATTAGATGCTCTTGGGGTAGAACCCAGGTAACAGTATTTTTAAAAGCTCTTCAAGTAATTCTTATGTACAACCAGTACTGAAAACCACCAGGTTAGAGGAACGTACAGCTGCTCTGGCCAGTTCATCAAATCATAAGAGATAACAAGGAGCTCATAAAATATTTTTCACAGGTTTTTATATTCCAATATCAAATTACAAAGGCAGATAATACAATTTGTGATTTATTTAGGTGGTTTGCTGGCCTTGGACATCTACAAAAATATCTAAACTATCTAAACATCAAACAAAAGGGGCAATTTTGAGCCAACTACACCTTCTTTAAAAATCATTTGCTTTGTGTACTTTAGCCAGTGGTAAATTCTTGATTCCTGGTGTTTTCCATGACTTCTCAGTAAGCTTCCCACCAAGAGGGGAAAAGGGAACAGAGGAGGGAGACTGATGAAACACCAATCTCTCCATTTGACACTGGGCTACCAGCTGGAGGGTAGACGGAATTTTTTAACTAGAATGATTCATTCATTGATTAAGAAAGATAAGAGTTTTCCATAAAGTACTAAAACAACTAAGGATGACTCCCACCCCCAAGAGGTTACAGTACTGATTTGCCATCTGGTGGGGTATGAGTTAAATGCAATAAAATATACACACCTGTTGACATGCTGCATTATATTTCCAGGCCAAGCCAATTGGACCTTTAACTGACCTCTGTGTTCAACAAAAAAGTCAACTAACGTTCTGGTAACAGTTGCTGAAGTGTGGAAGAAAAACGCAGGGATCCAAAGAATGGCCCCATCAAGCTTTTTTAAGCTGAGGAAAAAGTTGTTACGGTCCTGTATGGTCAAAAGATTGTTGTAATATTTTTCCAGGATGCTGGGGTTGAAGGTGGTAAGGTTGGTTTTCCTTCCAACATCTCTCTGGAAAGCCTCCGTAGGGGCGAAATTGCAACGAAAAACAAAATCTGATTTATCTATTTCTTGTCCACACTGGCTCCCTGTCAGGATCCCACTATTTCCAACCACAGCACAAATATTATAATGCTTATTCAGAATGGGTGACACATCTGGAAGCAGTGACCGGAAGTTATTGCTAATAGAGAAAACATATTTATGGCTGGAATAATCATAGTGCATCAGTTGTCCGATCCGAACACTATTCTTGGTCAAAGAAAAATTTTTTATTACATCGACATGCTGCAGAATTTCTTGCCTAAAATAAAAAGAAATTCATTAAATGCATTCCATTCAAAAGAACCGAGTTTCCATCTTATGTCTTATGCTGCCATTTCATTCAGACAAGAATCTCAAGTACATTGAATTCAAGGGTTACACATTCATAATTGTGGTCTTTGAAGGGAGGGCTGCTTCAGAATATATAGGAATGTTGCAATCTTTCAGTCAGGTTTGGAATGTAATCCTTTGAGGTTTGTAAATGCAACTTGCAGTTTTAGCTGCAAGTTCTTGGTTTTCTGATCTACTTGAGGAATGTTATTTGACCAGGAAGGAGGCATATGCCAAACTGTGTCAGAAAATACAGGGAGACAATTTACACAGGCCCCAAAGAGCTTACATTAGTGCACAAACATTGGTGACTTAAGAGTTTGTAACTAGGGACTACTTGTTTGCTATTGGACTGCAATGTTTAAGAATATCAAATATCACTGGTGTCCAAATAAAAGCCAAAGAGATATGAGTCAGTACAACACTATCTATTATTAAAATATGAAAGTGGGAGTAGCAATGGATGTAGTTGAATATTTAATAGAAATGAGATGATAATCTCATTGAGACCCCTTGAATAATGAAACAGGATATTTTCCTGCTTGATTATGTAAAAACAGAATTTAGTGGGATATATCAAATCCTTAGAAACAGAGTCTAATGTAACACTGAAAATATGTGTATATTTGAAGAATAAGGAGCATAAGACAGGAGTGAGACATAAAATGAACTTCAGGTTGTTTTCCTATTAATCTTTAAGTAAACTTGTTTCCTTTTAAATGCAAACTCATTAAAATATTTAAGAGACCACTAATGCCTTACTTTGCTGCTAGATTTTCCAGTACTAAGAAATCACACTGAAAATCCAGTCTTTTTGCTTAAAAATATCAGGAATGAAATGAGATGTTTTGAAACTTGCTTGGACTTTTATTTTTAAAAAACTACTTCATTATTCAAAGTATAGAGCAACATCAACTGACATCTCCAATCCAAAACTTCCAAAGTGATCAGTACTGTTTTACTGATTATAAAGCTGATATAAAGGCAAGGAAAGTTTAAAATGATACTGGTAAAAATTAAAGGTTACCTAATAAGTGGATTGAAAGGAGGGAAGTTTTGAAAAAGAAATGCCCTTCTGATTGGTCATTAGGGTCACATGACCTAGTGGGTTAGGAATGTTTTTATTGAGTAAGATATGTGTTTTGGGAAAAGGTATATAATGTGTTCTATCCTTGAAAATTTTGGGGGTTATTTATAAAATGAATATTAGATTAAAACCCCAAAAGTTTTTAAAAAGCACCCCAAAAGTTTAACAAAATCACTTAAGGGGTTTTAATATTACTCAAATTTCCTGAACTAATTTTTGATTAAACATAAATATTTAAAAATATGTAACAATAGTCATGATTATATGTCAATTTTTTTGAATAAACATTTTCCTGACACCATGGATATTTACTGGATATGTTTTAATTTTGCCAGATTACACATTTTTAAAAAGAGCAGGAACTAAAAATGGTATGATCAAAACAACTCCCTAAACAGACTAGTCTGTAAAAATAAGAATTCACACCCTTCATGAATACACTAGATGGCTCACATTGCATCCAGCAGCATGATAATCCCACCAAAAGGAAGAAGCAATGACTTATGTGAGTTTCTAAGAGAAGACCAGAATCCCTGAGGAGAATAAGTAAATTTGAGTAAATCTCATTCCCTCATCCCATGTAAAATAACAACAAAAAACTTTTTCATATATAAAACGAGACTGCAACAATTAATAAGAATGATCTTAGACAGCTTTATAGTAAGTTAAAAGCTGTAAAATCTTAGTGAAAACAACTAGGCAAAATCACAACAATCCTAAATACCTGCATATATTTGGGCCCACCTCTTCATCAGGAATTTGATGGAGATGGATCATGCTATTTCCCGTGTGTCTCAATGAAATAATACAATTTTACTTTATTTTTCATTTTTTTCCCCCAAATGAGGGAACGAAAATGCACTGGGCAGTCTTGAAATTAACTACGGGGGTTTCTTCTTCATTTTTTAAATGGCTGTCTAGCTTTGGTAATCCTAGCCAGACTTGTTAACTGCAAGTCATGGTGTTCTTTCAAGCCCAGGTGAGGGAGGATATTGGAAATATCTATTTTTTCCCCATTCGAATTGGTCATTCTGGTATTTCCTATTTAGAGAGGGCACTACACTCACTTAGAGGGTTACCAATAATGATTGTGCAGTTAGGCCAGGAAGACAGGGCAAATACACTGGGGGTGAGGCAGAGGGTGGAAGGCAGGTTTTTCTTGTTTGGGATTTGGATTTGTTTTTGTTTTGTTCTTGGAGCTTCGGAATTCAAAAGCACCTTTTAGATCGGTTCTTCCTCTCCTACCTTTGATGTAAAAACGCTGTCCGATTAAAGGTCCACTTAGAAGGTTTCTCTTGGAGTTCCTGGGTGAGAGAATTCGTAATGGGCACAAAGGACGGGTCTAGAAACTTCAGCGCAAACTGTGACCTGGAGAGGAGCATGAGTACAGACAAACGTGCTGGCCTCAGCTCGGGAAGCCGAAGTAGCCATTAAAGTCCAGCCAGCCGGGGCCGGGGGCAGCTGGCGCGCGCAGCGCATCCTTCTCACCCCAGAGCCCCTCTCATTTGTTCCACCCTCTGCTACTAGACACACCGGGTAGAAGGAAGGAAAACTAGGGAAACCCCTCTCCATTGTCCATCCCTCCGGGTGCGGGAGAGACCATAAAATGGCCGTCACGCAGTGAGCAGGGGCGGGAGCCGGGAGCAGGGCTGCAGCCGGCAGCGTGGCCAGGACCAGGGAGTCAGCACCGCGGACAGCGGCCTCGCCGCTGCCAGTGCGACCCGCGACGCCCCCGCGGCCCGAAGGAATTGATTTTTGGAGAAAGGGCAGAGGAACTGAAGACTCGGGGGAAGAGTGCGGGAGGGGCTCCTGCCTTAACCTCTTCCTTCCCGAGCCTGTGTCTGATTTCACTGCCCACCCTTGACTGGGGACCCCCGGAGGCCGCCGCCAGCTCTGCTCCTGTGCCCAGGCGGGGCTTCTCTAGGCTCGCACCTCTGGCCCGGCTCGGACCACAGGTTGCAGCAGCCCGTCAGGAGGCCCTGCTGGCGAGCTCCTTCGGGCACAGGTAGGGGCGGGGGCTCTCCGAGAATCGTGGGGAGCCGCTCCTGGCGGCGACTTGGACCCAGGCGAGGGTAGGCGGCCCTTGGGAGGCCAGTTTCCCACAGGGGCGGGAGAATTGCAGAAATCGCTGAGCGAGGAGGGCGGCAGTGAGGGGAAAGGGCCGAGGGAGAAAGCCCTAGGGGCTTCAACAGAACAGACCCGCGCATCCTTTGATGGGGAGGAGGGAGGAGAGGAGGCGAGTGCGAGGAGAGTCGGCGCCTGCGCCATTAAATCGCCCGCACCGCCGGGAGCCCAGCCCGCGGAGTCTGCGGACCGCGAGCGGGGAGGGCGCTCACCTCGCGCCTGTCCATCTCGCGGATCACTCCCCCCACCGCCCCCCGGATGCTGCCTCCCTCCACCATCTTTCTCCTTAACACCCCACCCCCCATTTTTGAAATGGGGGAAGGGATGCCGAGGAAGAATACAAGAAATGCAATAATATCGATCAGGATTACGAGTTTTAGGGGCTTTGGGTTTAAAAAATAAAAGGGAGAAGGAAGAGAGAATCCGAGAGGGGAGTGGAGGACCACTCAGTTTGCTTGCCCAAAGTGTCTCAGATAAGCCCCAACACCCCTCTCTGACCTTACCCCGACACACCGTAAACTAGACACATAGCCCAGGGCGCTCAGGTAGAGGCCCGCACTCACCGGAATCCCGCGTGGAACATGTACATTCGGGGCGCCCCCGGGCTGGCGTACTTGGGAGTGGTGAAGATGTTCTCCTTTTTCAGGGACACGTAGCTGATGAGCGATAAAATCAGGAGGGCGACGCTGAGCATGACCAGCCCCAGCACACTGGCGACCCGGGCCATTTTGCAATTTCTCATCCCGTGCAGGGCTGGGATCAGGGAAACCAGGGAAATCGGTCCATTGAGCGGCCAGCAGCTCGCTGGCGTGTCAGTGAGTGTGTGTGTATGTGTGTGTGTGCGTGCGTGCGCGTGTATGTGTGTGTGTGCTCTCGGGCGCGTGTGAGCTTGTGTGGCGGGGGAGGGGGAACCCGGGCAGCCGAGCAGCGGAACGCCGGGGGTGGGGGCGGACGTGAGTCGCTGGAGTAGCGGGACCCCCAGGGCCGGAGCCAGCGGGGCCCAAGCTGAGCAGGAAGATGGAGGGGCTGCGCGGCGGCGTGGCGATGGAGCGCGCCGCGCTGTGCGTCTCTGGCCGCCGGCTCAGGCTCCCCCGCGCGTTTCCAGCGAGGCTGCCATCTCCACCGCCGCCTGCAAGATAAATGTGATTGGAATAATGTTACAGTTCGATCTAAGCACAGGATTTAATTAATGAACTCTAATCTCCCAAATAACGGGGGGGGGGGGAGGTGCAGGAGAGGGAGGGAAGAAGGGGAGGTGGTGGAGGGAGGGATGTGAGGCTAGAAGGCTTCAGCCCACGCCTATGGCCTCCCTGGCTGAGGGTATCCCTGAGGAGGTAGTGGTAAGGAGACAGACACCCAAAGTTAGTGTAATGGACCATTCATTACTTTATAAAATATATCATGGAACAAGGGGGTAAATAACTGAATTTGCTGTTCGGAGGATAAACACCAGCTGGTTGCTTTTCAGAAATGCAGGAAGAGTGTTTTTTAGGATGACAAATGTTTAAAAGCTTTTCTTACCACCCTCAGCCCCATTGACCAGCACCTGCCAAGGCACCTCAGTCAGGAAGTCCCAACAGCAGCTGGGCTGGTCTGCTTTGGTAGCAGTTAAAACCCTGAAATTTTCTAGAATGTCTCCTTGATCCCCTTTCTATGCCCACCACATAGCTTATCTCTAAAAGGTGGATACTGCCTAGCAAGTTGTGAGGTGAGTGGTGAGTGTAGTGGAGGCCTGGCTCCCTCCCTTCTGTCCCATGCACCCAGAAGGTGAACAAGCTTGCCTGAGTTGACCAGATCTGGAGCATTAGCCCTGATTGAAGGATCCATTGCACCCCTTTCATACCCACCCCTATGATCAGTCTCCTGGCTTTGCTGGGTGGTCTGAGTTGCCCAGAAGCTGAGGACATTATAAATGCACAAGATCTCTTTTTCAGGATCCCAAGAAACAGGTTAAAGAGGCTACCTCTGAGGGTGGTAGGAAAACTCACTTACAATTTGTATTGCTTGACCTTAAATTTATTTTAGCATATTAATTCATATGTTATCTTTTTAATATTCATTGAAAATACAGATTAATCCATTTTTAGTCACATTGGGTGCTGAGGAGAAGCTCACATCATGTATTTTAGCTCTGCCCCTTGCAACTAGTATGGCTTCTTCCACCCTATTTACCCTTGGTTGGTCCTCAAATTTTCATCAATAAGCACTAATGAAAGAAGCTGGAGGTGAGAAGTTGGCCTTCAAGAGCCTTTTCCCATTAAACAAGAAGAGATATTTTCAAGGGAGTTAGGATTTCTTTCTCTCCTGAAAGTCTTGCCTTATGGATTTGGGTGGACTTACGTTACTATGTTTTGTCAGGGGACTGTAAATTCTCCAAAAGGGTAATCTCCTAGATTGTAAGCTCCTGCAGAGCAGGGACCATGTCTTCTTGGCCAGTACTGACTCATATAGAGGGCATGTTTCCTACATGTTTGAGGACCAGATGAGCTTCCTTGTGAAGCATATCTCTGCTTGGTTGTAGACAGTGAGTGGCAAGTAGACTGCTTCTATTTCCAGTGACAAAGGGGGTCACTTAATACCCATTAAAGATATTTATGTCAAAATAAAAATGTGGGTCAGGAGGACACAGATAATCTTCTTTTCCCTGTGGGGCTTTTTCATTATTTAAAACATTTTTGAAAAGTGCATGATGAGTACTTGAGTGGAATTTTTAAAGTAACTACCATGTTTTTTGTTAGAAGATCACATGAGTATAAATGTCCAAAGGAGTAAGATCGTATAAGAGTTATCTAAGAATTAAAAATGTTGGAGGAAAAAAAAAGGTCAAGGTAACATGCCACGGGGATTCAGCCAAGGTAGTGGCTCTACTTTCAGGCTCTGGAGCTAGGCAGACCTTACCTACATGCTGCCTCTGGCATCTATGAGCTACCTGACCTTGGGTGAGCTATCAACTTCTCTGTTTTTGGCTTCTCATTTATAGAACCAGGATAAAAAAATCTCAGAATTTGGAGTGAGATTAAATACCCTGGCCTGTGACCCCATAAATGCCCTTCTATAAAACATACCAAGGAAAAACATACTTGGGTAAAGTATTTTCCTACAAAGAATGGTGAAGATCAAGATCAAGATCAGTTTCCTCTAAAAAACAGTGTTCTGGGCTTCCCTGGGACCTAAAATATGAATTTGCTGTACCTAGATTTTAAAAAATTGATATGCTACTTCTACTTAGCACACCTCTGTGCACCTTTTAAAGGAAGTTCTAGTAGGATGATTCCTATATTGCATATGGTTCATTGAAGGTCACATGATATAAAGGAACCAAATTAGCCAGAAAATAAACAGGCAGGCAGGAATTCTTATTACATGTACCAGGCTTATCTGTGATTGCTCAGTAATTACCAGGGGGATAATCCTGATGGTGGTACTTCAAAGAGTAACTGGAGCTGCTGGATAAGGGGTTTTCCAGACCTGGGATTAAAGCTATTTAATAAACTAAAAAATAATTAGGATCTTTTTACAAAATACCACTTATCAAATTTTACTAGCATCAGCCCTGTGTGTAAGTATAGGAGGGGAAAAAAAAAACCAGCAATGAAAATTCCCTTGGCTTTAATATTTTCTAGAGGATTTGTTATTTTGGACACAGTATTAACTTTCCCTTGCCCACCCCTATGAGTGCCCACTTTTTTGCAACATGCTCTGTTATTCTGTGTCCCTTCACCAACCCATACCTACCAAGAACAATTTCCAGGTACATTGGGGGCGGAAGGCCAGGCAAGTTGGTGTCTTTTATTAGAAACAACATTGTGTGTTCTTTTATTCATTCGTCTCTATTTTCTTTCATAAATCCACTAAATAAAATGTGCTGATTATCAAAAACTACAGTAGGCATACTGGGGGGTTATAAAGTCAACTTTGACCTCATGATCTTGTGGGGGAGAAGAATATAAACAACAGAAGACTGATGAAAGAACTAAACAATGACCTCTGTCAGCACAAAATCAGTGGAATTCTTCAGGGGGCAACATTTGGGTTAGGTCTTAAAGCATAAACAGGACTTATTAGATAGAGGATTTTAGAAAAGGGTATCCCAGGTAGAGACAGAGAAGGTTTGCTGAACAGCAGGAAGTTTGTGATGAATGCCCCAAAGAAGAGCAGAGAAAGGGAGTTGGGGTCAGACTGAGAAAGGCCTGTCGGACAGGAAGATATCCAGTGGTGGAGATGGCCAGTGTGTTGGTCAGCTTTGTATTCGTGTGTTCAAAACATCTGATAAGATTAACTTAGAGGAGGGAAAGTTTACTTTGTCTTATGGTTTCAGAGATTTAGACCATGATCACTGAATTCATCACTTTGTGTTCAAGGTGGGACAGAACATCATGGTGGAAGGGCATGGTAGAGAGAAGCTGCTTGACTCATGGTGGCAGGAAGCAGAGAGAGAGAGCAGAAGGGGCCACAGGGAAGATGCACTCTTCTAGGGCATGTCCCCAGTGACCCACACCCTCCAGCCACATCCCACCTGCCTACAGTTACCACCCACCTAGTCCACTTAAACTAGGATGGACTGATCAGCTTCCAGCTCTCATAATCTAATCATTTCACCTCCTGCATTAACACAGGAGCTTGTGGGAGACACTTCATATCTAAACCATAATAGCTGGTATCTTTAGCAATACTGCTCAGGACTGTCCAAAGTTTGTAGAGAGCAATGAGTTCATGATTTGCCCTGAGTAGGAGAAGCAGCAGGAGTCACCCATGTGGATGTCAGAAGTCAGCTGTTGTGTCCATTAGCCCTCCAGCCTGATCACATGCATGCCTCAATTTATCAATGAATTTTCCATTATGGGACACTCCTGAATAAGGCATCAGGGAACTTTCAGGAGGGTAAGTCACCCTGGCCAGACAATATGGGGCTTGTAGAATAGAGAGGGCAGGGAGAGTCTATCGGGAAGCCGCTTTTTGGAACTCCATGTTCCTGGAGGTCTTTCTGCATATTATTGACTTAATATCTGTTTCTAATAAGTCTAGCCATGGCCACTAAGAAAGAATCTTGGGGTCCTCTGGTTTTCCAATTCCTATTTCCCTACCAAAGGTAAGTACTTTATGAGTTCAGTGGTAAGAAAAGTCACTATGGCCAGAGAAATTGCCACCAAAGCTCTCAGAGGCTAGAAAGATGCTTGAAGTTTCCAGAGATGGAGACAATCAGAGAGGACAGGGCAGGCAGGGCAGCATGACTTCTAGCAGGATGACAGTGTGCAGGCAGAAGAGGGAAGGCTTGGTGGGGTCAAGGAGCAGATATACTTCCTTGGAGTAAAGTGAAAGGAGCCCAGGCACCCAGGCACCCAGAGCACGCTTGTGCCAGCACTCTTCTACACTATGTGGTGGTCCTGTTAGGAAGGCATGATATTTTTGCTTTACAGTTGAAGAAACTGATGTTGAAAGAGATTAGGGATTTGCTCAAGGTAAAGTCCCTCTAGCTCTAAAGCCACCTTCCACTCGCTCACACTGCTTGTGAGTGAGTCCTGGGATGGTGGCTGGACATAGAAGCAGGCCTGGGGAAGAGTAGAAGCACCAGCCTTTGCAGTGGGAGCCAGTTATTTCTGCTACTACTGGTGATGCTAACAATGCTGATGCCATCTAGCATTTGTTTTTCACTTGCTGTGTTTGTGTATTGTCCTAGGCAATTTCCATAACTGGTCTCATTCGATCTCTGTTTTGTGCCTTTGAAGACATATGGAGGGTCCCTGACTTAATGTTGGTTTGACCTACAGATTTTCAATTTGATATGGTATTAAAACAATAGATATTCTATAGAATCCATACTTCAAATTTTGATTTTTGATCATGTCTCTGGCTAGCAACACCTGGTAAGACCCTCTCTGCTGAGAAGCAACAAACTGCATCTCCAGCCAATTAAGAGTGAACAACTGAGAAATCATGATGTGCAGTGTTATCACTGTTTTGGGGTACAGATATTCAATATTCAATACTTTGTTCTAAAATGAGTTTTGTGTTAGATGATTTTACCCAGGTGTAGAATAATGGAAGTATTCTGAGCATGTTTAATATAGACTGAGCTAAAT